AATCATCCCTTCAATATTTCTTCGATTGAAGAATGATGTCTCTGATTCACATTTTTTTCCTCCACAAAAACAAAAACTTTTTTTCTAATACTTACAATAATAGCAGAAAGAACCCAATTATATTTATGAAATTTTTCACAAACATGAAATCTTTCACTAAAGGTCTGAGTAAACTAATGATTTTTTGTAGTTTTTCACAAAAATGGATCATAATTTTAATATTCTCACCTATTCACAAAATTTTGAGAATTTTTCAATTTTGCAAAACAGTTCTTTTTACGAAAATCAGGAAGAAATCAAAACATAAAATGTATTTTTAAAATTTAAAACAATTAAAAAAAATCAGCTTTACTTACCTACGTTTTGAAGCCCCTGATGAGGCAATAAAGTAATTTGAGGGAAGGCATTACAGGCCAAGTGGATCTCTTTTATTTTATTCCACGAATTTTTTTACAGAGAAATTTAGTTTTCACAAATTACTCACTCTGAATAAGCGTACCTTTTTTTCGTCGGATCTGGATTTCCGACTCTTAAGATATTTTTGGGTAACAATAATTTTGCCTGGAGAGGAGTTCACTTTTTTTGTATTTTGCTACATCGTGAAAAATTTTGAGACTAAACAAAAACATTTTGCATGCAATTACAAAATTTATAATCCAAAGATAATTTCATGTAATGATAAATTCTTAAGAATTATTTATTATTTTTGTTATTTCATTTAAAAAAAGCCAAAAAAAGTTTGATTTGCAAAGTATACGATTTTTTAATAACTTCAAAGGATATCATTTTAAACTATAATACACAAAATATGAATTACACCGGTTAAATAGTGTTTGAGTTATTCAATTTTGAAAAATCATAAACTTGAAATTTAATTTCTGAGGAACTTTGTAAGTGATTTCGTTCAAATTTTGTATTTTGCTATGTAAAATTACTTGCCTTAAAATGGAATAAGAATACGTCTATCCTAACTATTCTAAGTGTTTTCTTCAAATTTTAATAAAGAAAATAATAACATTTATAAATAGTTATTAAAAACTTTTTTCTACATAAACTTATTTGGATAAGCGAATTTTATAATTAAGCTCAAAATTCCTTCGATACATTTAAGAAGATCTCGAGATAAAGCAAAATACATAAAAAACGATATTGCCTTAAGTGGTTTTAGAAGTCATGGTGGCTCAGGAGATAGAGCGTTAACCTTCCAATGAGGTGATCCGGATTCGAATTCCAGAGATGCTAACGTAAAATATTCTCAGTGTTAGACGGACCATGGATTAGAGTCCCCTTACCGCCAGGCTAACCGTGTGAGGTTTTCTTCTCTATGTAGCGCAAATGTGGATCTAGTTCCATCAAAAATTTCTTCCAATACTTAATCCAGGAGTTTCCTTGTCTTCTGGATTTTGTTCAACCTTGAAAGGCTACGGAGTTGAACCTTAGTAGTCGTAAACCTAAAATTAGGTCGAATGTTCAACGACGGTTGTAAAATAAAAAATAAGTGGTTCAAGCTTTCGACTGCCCTCCGGCCAAAATTATCGGGACTATATTTTTCAGATTATGGTTTCCTCCCTCCTCTCGACTATGGTTATTTTGTGGAGCAAGATCGAAATTCGCCAGAAAAAAACTTATTCATTTAGAAAAAGTTCATTTATGATTCCGATTACGTAACTTAAAATATGCTTTAGATACATTATATTTAGATACATTGCTTGGTGAGTTTAGGTAAGATATCAAAGATAAGAATTTTTATAAAATTTACATAGACCAATGTAGTTTTTCCTTAAGCATTTTATTTGTTATTATTCTCTCCTCGATAAATTACTTCACATCCTCTCCATTAATCCAATTCATTTATTTCTTTTTAAGACTTCAAAAGTAAGAAAAAATATTACTATAAGACTAATGTATAAAAGACATTCATTCCATAGGAACAAAAGTATTATTTCATAAAATATATAAAGATTGCCATAAAAAGGAAAAAATATTGAAGCTCGTCCAAGCAAATGTTATATAATGCTTATTAAAAGATACGAAATTAAAGATTAATCTATTTTTATACCGAGAAGTTACTTTCAATAAATATTATTGAGTAATAACCATATTGTTTAAAAGTACGAAATAATTTCCTTATTTCGCTTGTTTGCTATTGATTTTTGATTATCATGCCGTCTAATTTTTGATATTCTGTAAAATGAATGGGTATTACATGGGGTATATTTTTAATATATCCCATGTATAGGATATATTTATATATAGGATTGATATGTAGGATTATAGTATTTACATAGGATATATTTTTAACTGGCAAATGTTTTTATATGGCAGAAAACAACGTAAAAAGTTTAAAAATTGATGCACTGCTGTTTCTATGCTGTATAAGATCCTCCTCATCAGGATCAAAACTAAGAAATTCTGAATGCGACTGCTGATTCTTAGTCATGTTATTGATGATTGCACTTGCTTATAGTCAACTGTCTGTCTTCTTATTATTCCTTTAATTTTCATTGCTCTTCAATTAAGTTCAAAAAGATAATTTTCACTTCATCATACATTCTTCCTATGCTGTAAAAACTGTGGTTTAATACCTATCTGAAATCATTATTGAAAAAACCAAAAATCATGTGAAGGATTACTTTATTTCAAGTTAAAATGGAATCGAGCGTTTTTACGAGGAATGCAGTTATATCTTAACAACAATATTTGGAAAGCTTATCCCGATTTTCAGCTCTTAGGTAAAGAAGGTTGCGTTTTTCGGGGCTCCGTAAGTTTGGTGAATATTCATTGTATATTTCGATTATTTTGAAATTTTTTCTGTAAATGCCGGTAGAGTATATTTTAAACGTATAACAAATGTCTTTTAACCCTTATTAGAAGTTTAATGGAAAACTATTGTGCACTTTCAAGATAAGGACAATATGGCAGCCAAGAGGGTGATTTGTTTACAAGAAGTGGGAGATCTTCTTGTAAGATTTAATTGACAAACTAGTCATAGCTCATTTAACAACGAATAAATTTCAATCATCTTTACTAATTTGTATGAAAAACTGATTCCGGTCAATTATTTTCAAGTAATTTTAATTTTTTTTGTCGAATTGATTTCACAAACTACTCGTATAAGCACTTAAAAAATGCAATTGTGCTGTTAGTTATATAATAAAAATATTTATGCTATTATGAAGTTTCACATAAATCTGTCAATTGCTTAGATAATTTTAAAATATTTAACTTCTATTGACTTTGGTTTTGTTCGAATTCTTATTAATATTTTATCTGTGCTGTATGGAAGATTGTGTACGTATTTTGATTAACAAACAAAATGTATTTTTAGAAATATTGTATATATGCATTTATGATCCTTGCCTGACATTGTGTCGAAAAATAACTCTATGAATTCGTGTGTGACATACCTAACAGTAATCATAAACTAGTATTGCTGAATAACATTACTGAATATCATTACTGAATTAAAAAAGCTGAATAGTATTACTGAATAACAATTATGGTAGAGATTACTTTACACCAAGTAGTGTGATAGAACATTCTAGGAATTTCACTGCCCAGGAACTTATATTTAGTATTGGTGTAGTGATACACTTAGTGAAGCAATACCTTGCAGTAAAGTAGTTGCCACCATTTTTGGTGTTCAAGTACAAGTAATTTTTTTACAGTGTTAGGTATAATACTTACATGCTTGACGGTATATGGTAATCTATATACTCCGGTATGGTTCGGTATACTCCTGTATACTGCATATGCTAAAATGTCTATTTCACATGGGCTGAAGTTTCTTTTAATATATCACTAAGTGTTTTCTAACTTGCTGATAAATTATTTTCTGTATAATTATATTCAGTTTGAAAGATCTATCAAATAAATTTAAAGCTGAAGAATTCCCTTTCTTAAAACGCAAAAAATTGGAAACACTTCCAACATAAAACGGGATCAATGGTAGCAATTTCATATTTAGTGAATTTTTTTACTTAGACTAGCAAACGTCTAGGTAAAAAAAAAAGTATAACACTTGTTAAATAAACCTGAAGTCAACAAAAGCATTTTGTTGTAAAGCGAAAAGAAATGAAATCGATGCTTTTTAAGTAAAAACTTTATCTCTGAAATTAACTTTCTCCAAAACTAATTTTTATATTAAAAATATATTCGTTTATTAGTAAATTAAGTTATAAAATAATTACGCACAAATATTTGTACTAATAGGAAAATGAAACTCTGGAAGCTTTTCTTGCGAAAAATTCCAAACTCGTTCCAACTTATGATTCTGATTCAATTGGTGGTGTTAAATTATTAATGCCGCTCAAACTTTCATGCACTTCGCAGGACAAAACTCCGTTTGTCGTCAGTCGAAGTTCAAAATCACTCCTAGATAGAATCATGTTCATTCAAGTTTCCATTCGCTGTGATCGATGACGTCACTAGCCGGCAGCGTATAAAAGAAGGCCTCCTTACTCTACAGGGATCGATCCTTATTCAGGAGTCAAGCTGTGAAGGGTCTTTTCCTGGCGACTTGTGCAGCGTTACGCGGGACAAGTTCCCGAACCATACCGGAGCGCGGGACTTCCTTTTCCCGGAAGAAAATTTCCCGTTTCTCAGGTTATTTCGAAGTTTGGGGGTTAAAGTTTGCCAACATTTTTATGCAGGAAATATTTTCCATAAAGAACATATTTGAAAAATTTGTGGTTTGTTATTTGTAGTAAAGGATACCATAAGAATCATCTAAAATTGACACATATTTAAAAGTAGGACAGATAATATATTTAAATATAGTAGAATCCTAAAAAAAATTCTGTAAAATACTTTTTGCACAATTTAAAGGATATTGCTTGCAATATATAGTTATGAAGCTACCGACTGTACAGATTTCAATTTATTGAATCATGAAACAATCAAAGTTGAATCATGCAACAGTTTAACATTTTTCGCCGTTGTACACACTTTCTCAATCTTAAGTCATGTATAAGCACATAAAATAATTTAAAACTTGATTGATCTAATACATTTTTATTTTATATCTAATAACATCAAGATTAAGAAGAACTTATGGTTGTATATAATTAGCTTGTACAGTAATTGAACAAGAAAAATGGTTGTACACTTCAAAGTGTTAATTAATTAAAAAATCAAGTTTGACAGGATTAACAGATTCTGTTAAAGTGAACTGACTTATTAAATAAACCATGTCAGTGGGAAAAAATATCTTGATATATTTCTTGTGCGTGAATTGGACATTTAAAGCTGTAAATTCAATTGGTAAGTAAAACAATGTTTTGATATAAAATTATGATTATTATTTTTTAAATTTGCATCATTTAAATTCTTTGTCTACTCACAAAATATGTAAAATAATTAACACAAATGCATCAAAGGTATTTAAGGTAAAAACAAATATTAATTTATTTTAAATCATTTTAGCTTCAAATTCACTTATGTATAACTTATACTTTTGTACTGACGGGATCAGAAATTAAATTGAACTTGAATTTAAAAATCAAGTAAATTGACCTGCAATTCTATAAACTCAAATTATGATATCAGATGTACTAAAAATTTTAAGATTACGCTTTCCTGAGGCAGCTACGAGTGAAACAATTTTAAGAATAAAGCAATCATTAATTGTTAGCAAAGAATATTTCAAAACTTTATTATAAATGACAAATAGTATAAAAAAAAATCCTAATATTTTTTTCTACAAGAATTAACATAATGTGAGATAATGTATATTATGAAAACAACTAAACAATATAGTTTCATGTAATTCATGAGAAGATTTTTTTAATTTAAATATTGTGAAAATCATTAAATGAATTTTTCATTTAAGTTTTGGGAAATTCATAGGCTGCATTATTTTAAGAAAAATAAATGTACTGACATTTTTTTTTAAAATTTATAAACAGTTACATTGACATAGATACTGACAGAAAAGATAAAATAAAAAAACCCACACATATTGTGAATTAATAGATCATAGATTTGGTAGAAAATAAATTAAAATTCTCATTTTATTATTTATAATACATACTTGAGGCATGTTTAAGGATAATAACATATGATCTTTATTGTTAAGCATTTCATGCCATGTTATGAAAAAGTAGCTAATTTAAATCAGTTTTGTGTACTTCATGTGGAGAAATAAATAGACGCGCTCTATAAAATGCAATATGCTAAAATATATTTTGCATAATAAGCTGTAATACATCACTACTATAATGTTTAAATACAATCAATTTGTGATTCCAATTTTCATAAGGTTTTAATAATTAAAAATTCCTTAATTGCATTGAAATTAAATTGAAATTAAAGTTAAAACATAATTTGAAAACCTTCAACATTTATAGGAATGTAGGGAAACACTTCCTCTTTACATTAAATTCCAGTTCTTGATATTCAATGAAATTATATATTAAAATATTATAATTTATAAAATTGTAATAGTTATTTTATTTTATAAAATTATGTATTATAAATTTATACATTATGATAAAGGAAATGATACATAAATATAATAAATATGCAGTGAAAAAAATCCCCCGTGGTTCTACAATTACAAAATGTACAAGAACTGGTATGCTTTTTATAGCGGTATATTTGTTTTAATTCTTTTTTGTTGTGTTTGAAAATGTTATATTTTCTTGTTAAATCATGTACGGAAAACATAGTATTCTTTTTGATATTTCAAAGAAATTTAAATTATAAAAAAATCCATTTTTCTTCGTTTTAATTAATTTAATTCTTTCTTTTAACAAAATTTGTTATATAAATCATCATAATCATGACTCAATGGATAATATCTATATATTTTGTTTCTTAAACGTCTGAAATGATTGCATCCCTTGAAATTAAGAAAAATGATGATAAAAGTTCTTAGAAAACATTTAATTATCAAAACATTAATGTTTAAAAAATTACAACATATTAAATTATATTAAAACATTAACGTTTAAAAAATATATTGTGCTAAATTATTGTACTAAACTTCTAAAGATAATTCAATATATAATAACATAATAATAAATGATACCAATAAAATATTTTTTTCGAAATCGCAGTAGAAACCGGAAAATTTAATATTACACTAAGTTCTGTACATTTTTGCAACCATGCATTGTATATTAAAACAAATATTTATTTAAAAATAATTATTTTTAAAATTGAATAATTTAATCAATTTTATTCATTCGTCAATAAAAATGCATCGTATTTTCAAGAATAATTAAAGAGGTAAGCAGGAAAACCTTTATCAATAAGATAGCGTTAAAATGTTTTGTTAAAAAAGAATTATAAATGCATAAACATGAAAAATTTATTTGTAAAACATTTTACTTCTAAAAACGTTAAGAAATTTTTAGAAAAAAGTGTAATGATGCATAATGATCGACTATAACATGTTTAACTTAGCTAAAGTGTGTTATCAAAATGTTTTCTAAATATGTTTAAAATAAGTTTTTAACAGTATATTGCATAGTGTTGAGTTGCATATAAATGTATACCATATATTTCGTTTCCTCTTTCTACCGTATTAGAGGAGTACATTTTTTCTTAGAAAATAGTTAATAAGCAGTCTGTTTATAATTATTACGGTACTTTGCATTGATGAAAAATTAAAATTTTGTGATAATTGATTTAACTTCTTCTTAACTATTACTTATTTATTTCTTATTTATAATCTGTTTAAAATATAACTTTCGAATGGAAAGTCTTTATAATATGTTTCATTTTTAATATACTAAAACTACTTTAATTATATACTTTAAAAGAAATCTTTTTCCGTTAATTTCAAAAAGAATTTTTTTTTTAAACTTATATCTTTTTTTTTAAAATTATTTTTTATTAATTTCCAGCACTGTTCAGTGCTTAAATTATTATAAAAAAATAATTAACAAAAAGTGCTGTGCAGCGATGGTTATAAATTAGTTTTTGTATTATTTCTCAATTGATTTATCAATTGATTGTTTTAATAATTTTATTAATTGAATTATTGACATTTTATATTAAATGATTTTTTTTAATCCACAAATACATATTAGAATAATAAGTGAACTGATATTTTTTAAAAATTGTTAACAAGCAAAACACTTTATAAAAATACTAAAAACGCCTATTTTTCAACTTTTTGCGAGAAATGCAACTATCATGTGACATTCACATTACATAATTGCTTCATGTAGGAATTCAATTCAATGAATCAAGAATTTAGAATGAATGCATCAAGAATTTAAAATCAATGAATCAACTAAATTTTTATGTTTTTATTATTTAATTAAATGCTTAAAATGAGGACTATTTAATATAATTTAGTTTTGAAATACTTTAGGTTTCAAAATCATATAATTTTAAGCAGATTTTTCAAAAAAAGTTAATTATTAAGTAAAATCAAACTTTATATATCAAATTTGTTGACTTCTCTAAGTACATGTTATTTTTTGCTTTCATATTTTCTGCATTTGTAACACTAAAATTCTTTTTGATTGCACATATCTTAATCTAATAAATAAAATAAACCGCAATAAATTAAAAAATGAAATATAATAAGAATTGAAATATTTGTTTTACACAAATATATATAGAAAAAGAAATTTACATGCCTTTAAGAGTACATGTATATTTATATATATGTAATTAATTTGTATATTAATCTATTGAAAATTCAGAATGCTTATACGTTTGTGTATTTTTTGCTGCCTAGCAAAAGAGATGAGTACAGGATAAAATTGCAATTTTTGGCTATACTATCGACTGTATCAATATGACAAAAGATACGGAATATAGTTATTAATTATTTTGATTTATTGATGAACTTCGAAAAACATGTTTTACTTGATCTAATAACGTAAATACACTGGGAAGTGGAAGAAATAATAATGAACAATAAAATTTTAATCTGTTTTGCTTAAATAATTGTATTGGTATATCTCTTTGTTTTTTTTTGCATGATTTCATGGTGTTGATTAATACCTATTTACAGATTATTTACTTTTTACAACTCTTATAAACATTCAGCTTGTTATGCATCAATGTAACTTCGGTAAAAGTCAAAAATTATTTTCTTAACGATGTTCCCATAATAATTTACGTTTAATAAAACTAGTTTAATGAAGGTCTTATTAAGAGCAAATAAGGAAGCTTAAAAACTTCTTATTAAACAGAAACAATTTAAGTAAAAAATTGGTATTAAGATTAAATTTTAATAAAGAGTTTAAAAAAGCATAATCTCATTAACTAAGCAAGAATTTTAATTTATCATAACGGTTCCCTTTTTAAGCAACGTCAAAGCACGTGTTTTTTATTTCAAGTTTTAAATATTTAATTGGAAATTTTATCCAAGCTTCAGCATTGGGTTTGGTTTAGCGTACAGCAAACAAGTGTTTGGAATTTCTTTGTAGGAAATTTGATCCACATTTAAAGAGAAAAAATTATATAAAATAGCATCATTTTCTCTTTTTTATCAATCTAACACTACTAATTTATTCAGAATACCATGTTTTTCATTTTTATTCTAACAAGCCGGTCTCAGACTTTGCATGAAAGCATTAACTTATAATTGTTTTGTACGTTACTGTTTCTTTTTTGAATCATTAAACGATTAATACATTAATTGCCTCATGTTTGTCTTTTCTTAAAAAAGCCTCAAAGTCTCAAATTTCGTATGAAATTGTTACTTTTTCTTCATCCACCTAACGCTACTAATTTATCCATCACATCCTACTTTTATTCTAAAATTTTCGAGCAGTAACGTTAAGTCCATTTTTCTTCTTAGTTACTCAGTTGACGTGATTAATACATTCATCTTATAATATTTATCATTTTCCAAAATAAAGAAAGCTTCAATTTTTGCCGAGACAACTTATGCTATTAATATCATGCCATGTTTTTCGTTTTTCCAACAAGCAAAACGTATGAGAATTACTGAATTACCTTTTCTAATTTGTTACTCAACTAACGCGATTAATACATTTATCACATCATGTTTGCTTTTTTCTTAAAAAGCGCATCTCAAAATATGTAGGAATGGATAAAATTACCTTTTATTTTCACATTAAATTCATTTCAATGTAAAATAAGGACTTAAGACATTGAAATCTAAAGTTGAAAAGCATGAAGTTTCAGAAATGAAATATTAGATTAAATAAAGAAATTGGATTTAAAACTTGGAAAATAATTTACAGAGCATAGATTGTTTCTGGAAAAAAAAGAAAAGGAAAATTCATCATAATATAAGAATTCTTTTGATACTCTAAAAATGACACCGAGTT